GCGTCTGGATAGCGGTCGCGCCGAGCGACTTATTCCCGGTTGTTGGAGTAGGGTATCTTCGAAATACAGGCCCAAGTCTTCGCAGGCTTCAGAGTTGGGGGGGGGGGGGGTTCTTGTGTTGACGCTTGTTCCTTGTCGTAGGGCGTCGAGCCTTGGGCGTGCGGCGTTATCGGGCCGGCGTTCCCGTCGTGCGGCGTTATCAGGCCGGCGTTTCCTGGGGCTTGTGTGGCGTTATCGTGCCTACACGGGGGGTCTTGTGCACGGCGGTTATCAGGCCAGTGCGGTCCTTCGCCTAGGCAGCGCGTTATCGGGCGCCCACCTAAACGGTATACGTTTAACGTGCCTTTGTTCCAGCACGGGTCTGTGGGGGGAGGGGGGGGGGTGAGCACCCGAACCAACAAACGACGGGGGGCCGCGATATCGAGGCGGCTCTACTTGCCGGCGCTTGGTGGTTCCCCTGGACCTCGAAGAAGACGGGAGGTCTTTGTGGTTCAGAGAAATTTCGGGACTGAATCCTTACCCTATCCTATGTCCTTGCTACCGGCTACTCTGTACTACTGCTTGCTAAGCCTACCGCTCTGTACCTATCATTACTTCTGTCGTGCTTGCACTACCGTCCTTCAACCTGATTTGCGTGGCATAATCAAGATCTTACCTCGGCGCGTTTTGGTCGGCGGGGTTTAGGGTCGGCGCGTTTTGGTCGGCGGGGTTTAGGGTCGGCGCGTTTTGCAGAACCGGGCGCACTGTTCGACCCGTCGGATGATTACGCGTCGCACTGGATTCTGGCACCGTGTCTCACAGCCCATCACCCACGCCGACTTTCCGTCGAGCTCGGCCCTGCGTCGCGCCCATTAATCCGCGTCGAGGTCCACCACTCGCGTCCCGGCGCCTTCTTCCTCCGGCGCCCGGCGCGCCCACTTCTTCCGCGGGGTACTACACCACAATGCCTTGATTGTCAACATGAGCGAGCAGTTCTTCATCCACATCGAGGCTAGCATCCGCGTAGAACTTCAGACGCGAGCCGTGGACCGTGTAATGCTGGTTCGTGACAAGGTGTCGTATGTCGAACAAGTGGGGTGCGGTGTTGACCACCTCGAACGGACCGACCCATCGGGCGAGAAGCCTGTCCACAGACAAGCGAGAGTCGATTCGCGACCAAAGGACGAAATCTCCTACGCTGAAGTTGCACTCAACGCCCTTGGAGCGCGCCATGTTCTGCAGCCGGTGCTTCTCGCGCTGGTCGATCACCTCCCTGTGCATGGCTGCCAAACTGTCAGGTAAAGTTGCAAGTCGCTCCGCCGGCAGTCCATCCGAAGGTACCAGCATCTCAACGTTCTTGCCATGCTCTAGAAGGATTGGTTCCAATGGCGTTGGTCTTGGCAGTCCAGTAAAGAGCTCGCTCGGCGACTTATCGCCCAACGACTGCACGGGCGTGTGGTTCAAGTTGCCTTGAACAAGAGGTAGTAAGTAGACCCACTCACGAGTGTCCAGCTTGTACTCCATAAGCAGGACGCGAACAACTTGCAGTACATCGCGGTTCAGACGCTCAATTGTACCGTTAATCCACGGCGCGTAAGCTACCACAAGACTCTGTTCAATGTCCAGCGTTTCGCACACTTGGCGGATCACCTCACACTTGAAGTGGCTGCCCTGGTCTGATACGAGCACAGAGGGGGCGCCAAAGCGCTCCCACCAGTCCAGCATTGCACTCGCAGCAACGGTACTCGTAGGTGAATCGCACGCTACAAGCTCACAAAAGTGAGTGAGGCCGTCTTTCAGTACCAACACATACTTGTGACACGAGGCGACTTGAAATTTTGGAGAGTGTCCGCGCAGCTGGCCCCGGTGCCGATCCAGGGAGAGCGAGGAAAGAAAGGTCGATTCAGGATGGTGTACCTGTGGAACGCCCGAGCATGATGGAGGAGATGTGGAGTATGGATACCTGGTCGCGTTTGACCTCAACTGGCCGGAGGTGCGCAGCACCCAGTCCGGCCCCGACCTAGTCTGACGAAGGGAGACCGTGAACGTATCCCAGAGAGCTACCCTTCTTGACGAGGCCAAGGCATCCCAAGGTACTTCGAATCCCCGGCAGCCCGAGTGTGAAGCTACTCAAGTGTACCAAGCCATCGACACCCTGAACTGTACCACCACCGTGTTGAAGACGAACATCCAGGATACTGCGACTACGAAGACCCCGAGTGTGACCCGACAATGAGTTGAGGACCTCAAGCAGCGAGACCAAGTGGACACTGAAGCTCGTGGAGTCGACGGCAGCCTGGATGGACAACCGACAGCTCGAATGGAATGCAACTACCCCGAATGGCGGATGGCCATCCTGAATGGACAACGCCCGGAGTGCCCAAGTGCCGATCATCCTGAATGGACCAACACTGCCCTGAATGGAGAAGCCCCAAGCCACCGTTGCTATCTGCCAATGGACCGACGCCCAGGAACGTGCCAAGTCAGCGAAGTCAGCGACCAAGGTGCCAGTTCCGAGCGTGACTTGGTTTCACTATGGAGAGTGAGCCAGTCTGAGTTCGATGTGTCAGCAGTGCAGCAGATCCCCAGGTCAGGCACCCGAGTCCCTCCGACATCAAGTGATCGCGACGCGACGCCCGGGTATACTGAAGCCAAGAGAACCCGAACAAGTGTATGAAGATATGAGCAGAGGAGACCGCGTGAAGAATCCAGCGGCCCTAAAGGTAACAAGACCATACGAAGAAGAAGAGAAGTATACAACGAAGAAGAGAGAGATACAAAGAGAAGAGAGATAGCCAAAGAGAGAGAGAGAAGAGGATAAAGATCAACAGAGTTTGTTTTGCGTTCAAGTGACAAGTGCCTGGTTCGTAATTCGCCTAAGGACAGCCGCCGCCCACGGGAGAGTGTACCGCCTAGGAGCCCACGAGAGGGTGTACCATTCGGAGCCCCGCTGCGAGCGTTGAGTAACGCCTGGTCCAAGGCCCTCGAAAACTTCTCACTACATCATCAAGCCAAGTCCGGTACCCAAAAGTATTGCCCAATCGGGTTGGTACACCTGTTTCATTTCCCAGTTGTGGCGTACACTCTCAGTGTGCGCTTGTATTTCATATTCCCTGTGTTTTAGGAGGTTGTGGCAATTGACACGATGTGGGAAAGGATTTTTATCCGCACTCATGTCTGACAGCTGGGATGGGACGACCCTTCGCCTGACTGTGACTGGTCGCAGGGAACAGGAATCCAGTGACGTGGGGTGTGACCTGTGGATAGTGGATGCGCATGGTGGATTTGGCGGGACCCGGTGCTTGCAGTAAGCATGGGCTCACAGGATCGGAGATGTGCCCACCGGATGAGCGCTCATATTCGGTGTGGAGTAACACATCCTGTCCGTCCGCCGACTTCCCTGACCGCAGGATAAGCCTAAGGCGCGCAAGTGCAGCCAGTGAACGTATCCTGGCTGCTGCCTGCATTGGCTCCGTCAAGACATCGGACCAACCCCCAAGTTCACCATGCCCACCATGCTCCCATGCAAGACCTCGCTGGACAAAGTACACTGTTTGCCGGACTGGATCGTGGTGCGCCCGGTAGCGACGCACCGGATGCCAAGGTACCGTACCGAATGAGGCCGGACCGGATGATCAATTCGGTCTGACCCCTGGTGCCCATACTGGATCGTGACCGCACCAACAACAAGTCCAGTACTGCTGTGTGTGTATCAGCAATCCAGGACCGGATCGACCAAGAACGTCAAGCGACACATGATGGCTCACGTGATTAGACGCAGAGGTCCAGTGCGGATTTGATGAGACGCCGTACCACGTACCTCTGTCGCCAGATGATGAGTGTTGCCGAAGGAACGTTGACGTCGACAAGTTGCCCGATAACCAAGCCAAGTCAAGCATGTCCAAGCTCAGTGCAAGAAGATCGAAGTCCCGTGCACAAGGTCGAAGCATATCCAAGACAAGTCAAGTATAGTGAAACCTTTATTAGAAGTCAGTGAAGTGAAACAGATAGCTAGCCAAACGTAAGATCAAACAGAAACCAATTTGCCGGACGTCTTTCTTCGGGCTGGGAATTCCCCCTGACATTGACGTCTTCAAGAGCTTATACGTGGGATCCGCCTTCGTGCGATCTTAAAACGGAGGACGTTTCAAGGCCTCACTGGTGTTGCGAGCACTGGTGTAGTGGGGACTCAAAGGTACCAAGGCAAAGTCGGCAGGGACTGGGGTGTCGCGCCCTGGAGTTATCTGTGAGAGCTTTATTTCCAATTTGCGTGCTCGATCCGGGCATCCATTTCATATTCCCTAATGTGTGTCTTAGGCGGTAGAGGTAGTCACCCCCGAGACTGAATTGATTGACTACTGTGTGATAGGATTGACTTATATTTTGTATTGTTCCCTCACTCTGTGAGGGTGGTGCGCGTAAGTGAGTGTGCATCCAGGGTTGACCAGTGCCTTGGGTGACGGCTCGTAAGTTGACTGGCGTATAGACCCCCCACCCAAGGGTCTTAAAGAATAAGTGGTGGCTGTATATTTTGTGACGTTTAGCTCGGCATTGTATTTATGTGTGTTGGTTATACTGAATTGTGGATCTGACTGTGGTCCCTTCGATTCGGTCTGACTTTCTGTTCATTCGGTGTAGTTTGTTTCAGGAACACACCCAGCAGACTCGATTCTGTATTTACAACAACTCACTCGGTGAAGTCCGGTCCGCTAAAGGTAAACGATACCTATAGGGGTTGACACAAGGACACACGCCAAGTCCAAGCGATCCTCCCAGCCCCCGGTTCACATCCTGTGCTCCGAGGACTATCGGATTACAGCGGATATCTCTGGTACTCCGAACCGATTCGGTCCGGCATAGTGCGCTATACACCTGGACGATTAAGGCGTTCACCCGCCTCGCCTCAGCTGGTGCGCGTGCTCGGATTTGGTTGCCTAGGATTTCACCGCGAGTTGTTTGTTTGTATATTGATTTGGTCTTAAGGGGTGTTTCTACCGACTGCCTGGACTAATAGTTTGGTTATGGCTGGAAGGAAGGAAGCACGTGAAGGTGGACGCGGAGGCGGACGCGGACGCGGTGAGGCGTCTCGTCAGTCGTGTCGAGGACAAGGGCTGCCGCCGGAGGAGCACAAGGCCCTGGACGACGTTGTCCGGGAGGCTCGGAAGGCTGGCGCGGAGAAGCGCAAGGCGGCCCTGGAAGAGAAGAAGAAGGCGTCGGCGGCCGATCAAGATCAAGCGGCCCCGGAATCCTCCGTTCTGGATGCGCACCAAGCAAATCAGGATGAGGCTCCGGAGGCGGACTCGACCGAGTCTGTGCCGGCCGGCACCGAATGTGTCCCAGACCTGGTGACGGGACTGGATCAGGGTGAGTCCGCACAGGATGATGAACCCGCCCGGGCGTCTGTGGGAGGCGCCGATGAGGTTGAGTCCCCGGCTGAGGATCGAGTTTCGGACTCTCCCTAGCCGGATGACGAAGTCGAGATTCTGGACGAAGCCCCGACGATCAAGCATGAAGGCTCGCTGTCGACTGTCCAAGAAGACGGCGTACTGAATGACGAAGCCGACACCCGGTCTGCGCCCGCGCAATCCGGTCCGGCCGCGACCGCCCAAGCTCCCGCGCTCAAGATGGAAGCCCAATCCAGTCTGGCGCCCTCGGATTCGCGAGGACCCGACGAGACCAAGGCTCAAGTGAGCGAGGCTCAGGCGAAGGTGTACGTGGCCGAACACGTGCGTCGCTGGGAGCAGCATCGTGAACGCGCTGCCGTCCCGCTCAAGGTGGAGTACGCCTGGCCCGAGCCGGCACCCGACTTCACTGAATGGTGGACTGCGGCGCTGGCGACGTCGAAGTACCTGTCGGACCGGATGGCCATGGCGAGTCAAGACGCTGCGTGGATCGCGGAGCTTCGTCCGGTACGGCTGGAGCTATGCCTGGCACAGGATGTCTCCGGCATCGTGATTCCATCCTGTCGCCGCGCGAGTGCGTTGCGCTCATCCAGTCTCTCCTCTTCGCTGCCGGTTTCAGGTTTCACAACCTGATCCCGATGTGGTTCCAGTCGCAGGCGTCCAGAGTCGCACCGAGTCTGGTGAGCTCTGTGGTCGAGGACATCCAGCATTTCCCCGCGTTCGAGCTGATCGAGTGGCGCGAGTTGGCATCCTGTGTGCCCTTCAAGATCGTACTGGGTGCGCCGGACGTCCAAGACCAGACCGAGCCGAACGTGGGAAACTCTGGATCGACACTGTCGCAAGCTGCGCGAGCACCGATCCTGGACTACCATGCGGAAGACAACGACGGAGATCTATTGATGTCGGATTACGAAGCTGGACTATTGGGTCGCGAGTTCGTCCTGCGCCTACGGGTGGCCGGCCTTCGGGGGTCACGAAGCTCGCAAGGGTCTTCCACCGGCGAACCGGATTCCAAGCGCCCGCAGCACGGACCGCCTCGCCCGCCGTCCACCCAGTCCGTGTCGTCGATCCCGTCCGCGCCGCCGCTGTCTTCGCTCCCGTCGTACCACGCGTCCAGCGAGTCTGAGCACGCATCCGGTACTGGAGTGTTGGCGCAACCGGGTCCGCCATCTCGTTCACCCTCGGATCTTGATTCGAGCCTGTTCGGGACGACGGCTGGATCCAATGAGTCGACGTTCAGTGCGGCGTCAGCAGCTCGATCGTCCAGAGGCAGCTCGTCTTCGTCGTCGCTGTGGTCCGGACACGATGCCGCGAGGCACATGTCCGCGGTTGGGTACGGGCCCATGGTGATGACCGCGCAGGCAGGAGCGATCCAGTCTGGTGCAGGCGGAGGGTCGTCGAGATCACCCGGACAGCACTCCCTCGGTCATCGACGGCGGTGGATCAGGACGATGTCGTTATGTCGGAGTCCGATCACACCACCGTCCGGAGTGACCGAAGGTCGAGAACTTCATCCAGTCGGCAAACGACGTCCAGGCGCGAGAGGCGAAGCCCGTCACCAAGTGAGTCTGACTCCAGTGACGAGGACCGGATGCGCCGCCGAAGGTCTTCGAGATCGAAGCGCGCACCGAGTCGGTCGAGCAGGTCGACTCGATCCGGTCGATCAAGCCGCTCAGCGATGTCCGTGATGTCCGGGGCGTCCCAAGTTGCGCTTAACACGATGCGCCAGACGCAGGAAGCCCTGGCCAGGATGGAGCTGAACCAGGAGGCATCCGCTGCCAACGCGGCCCGACTGAATGAAGGTCTTCACAGCGCGTTCCAGGCGATCCAAGAGCTCGCCGGACGCACCGCTACCCCTCAAGGCAGTGTGCAGACCGGATCGAGACCGGACGCCCCAGTCCCGGAGCCTCCCAGCGTGCCCAGCACGTCTCCAATGTCGACGATGCAGGCGCATGTAGTGGCGGCTGCCATCGAGAGCGCCCGCGCCGAGGCAGGACGCCTGGAGCACGAGCGCGCTGCCGTCGAGTTCGCCGAACGCTGGAGACAACAGAAAGCGCAAGCCGAAGCCGAACGAACCCGATGGGCCGAAGATGTGCAACGGGGACTCAACGCTCAACTGGATTTATTCCAAGAGAAGGTCCACCAGATAGAAGCTGAGCGGGAGAGGGAGCGAGAATCTTCCCGGAACATTCAGCGGTTTCAGGCCCACCAGTTACACAACCTTCGTGCAACACGCCAGGCAAATCAAGTGGCTCAAGCAACATCGGGATCTGATTCGGTGTCGCATGTGAAGACAGAGACCGGGCGTGAGACATTGCACCCAGTATCCAGTGTGCCTATCCAGTCTGGTCAGGCGCCCATCCAGTCTGCGACGCCGCGTGCCGACGAGCTTCTAGCAGCCCAACTTCAGGCGACTATCAACAGCGTTCTCAAGGCGAGAGCAACCACGGGAGCCAAGGCGCGCGCTGTTCAAGCTGCGCTGGCGAAGGACAAGCAGGATGCTCCCGCGAAGGACGCGAAGAAGGTGCCCGTGAAGCAGGAGCCTGCCAAGAATGCGAAGGACACCAGGTCAGGACCGCGCAAGCGTCCATCCGGCGGGCGAAGTCGCGGAAGTGGTGACCCCTCCGGATCCGACCCGGACTCGAGCTCTGATGACGGCTACGACGAGGGCTACAGCTTAAGCGACTCCGACGACTCGCTCGCGAACGTGCTCACGCACTCCACGTCGGTGACGACGAAGGACGGCAAGACGGTGATGAACTTCCGGCCGTACGAGAACTCAAACTCACTCGAAGACTTCGACGACAAGGCGTCGTACCATGAGCGGACACGATGGTGGGAGCGATTCCTCACCTTGACCGTTCAGGGTGGTTGGACGGACAGCATGAAGGTGTACGAGTTACGCCTGAAGCTTCCTACATCCGCTCGCCACTGGCGTGCACAATTGCCGAGGCATGTACGAGACGACTGGACCCAGCTATACCATGCGTTCAAGCGCAAGTACTGCCGGTCCAGGATGTCCAACTCGGAGAGGTACTACACGATCGAGCAAGGACGGACTGAATCGGCGCTTGACTTCTTCTACCGACTGAATGCGGCCGCCTGCAAGGCGAATGTGGAGTTCAGGAAGTCATCTAGGACGCGTGAGATGCACATCAAGCGTTTTATCCGGAAGCTGACCGAGTCGAAGCTTCGATCCAGTCTGAAGAGCCAGCGTCTGCACAGCATCGACGACCTGGAGTTCATTCTGCGTCAATACGAAGACGATCACCAGGACAGCGGACGTGAGAACTCGGCATCCAGACCACACGACTTCCGCGCGGGCAACGTGCATCGAGACCGCGAACGCGAGCGATTCAGACCGAAGGGTCCTGGTCGCGCTTACGTCGTTCAGAGCGAGGATGAATCAGACGAAGAGGATCGTCATGTGCGTTTCCAAGACGAGGTGGATGAACACCGAGTCGAGGTCGCACCAAAGCACGACTCGGTCCCTCCTGCCTAGACACGGCCGGTGGATCCCGACCTGGTACTGCCAGTGCTGGATGAAGGTGTACTACGTGACGCAGTGTTCAGGGTGATGACGGGCTCAGGATGGAGACCGCCGCCACCTGGCCAACAGTCAGGGGCGTCTCGATTCGGTCAGCCCTCCGCGCCGCAGTCGCCGAGAAGAAGCAATCCTGATTGGAATGAATTCTGTGAGAAGTGCGAGAGGCCTGGACACCGACAGGAGAATTGCTGGATAGACATCGTGTGTGATCGCTGTCACCGACGCGGACACCCGATGCGCATGTGCAAGGTCAACCCGTGCAGGATTTGTGAACGATTTCCTGAAGGACCGTGTGAACTTATGAAGACCATCGAAGCACTGAAGAAGCTGGCACAAGATGGAGCACTGAAGGACATACCGAAGAACCTACTGGATCAGCTATTGGATGACAAGACGAATTCAGGGGGGCCGTTAAACCACTAAGCCCGCTGGGTGGGGACCCAGTACGCGCCGGGCTGAAGGCCCCTGAATTGTGTGTGTTAGCCTACGTCGGACCGGAGCTGAGGATCAGCCACCAAGATAACCAACAATGCATGATTTCTCTGAGCAACGATGACCTGATTCAGCCTGACCAAGTTGATGATCGTTCTGGATTGAGCCGTTCCGAATTGCGAGCACCGGATGGACCGACCGAATTTGAGGGAACAACGTCGGCTGCAAGCACTCTGGGATCGTGAACCGCCCGCCGTGGAGCCTGCGAAGTACTCATGGCCGACCAAGTTGATGCTACATCCGGGCTGGAAGAAGGACGTGACGTGTTTCACCTCGGTGTTGCAGAATCCAGTGACCGAGTCGGACAGGATCGTGGAACTCGATGAGGATCCGGTCGTGGAGGACCTGGTTGAGAAAAAACCGAGCTTCAAGCGCATAACACCGCTGACGAAGGAACCAAAGACTGATCCGACTGTGAAGTCTAGTGCGACTCCGGGTGGTGCTGAGGACTTCACCAGTGACACCGAATCGGATGACGAAGAGTTTTTCGAGGCTGTCGCACCGGATGAGGATGTTGCACAGGATGGAGATGACGAGGACTTCTTTGACGCGGTTACACCGGATGAAAACGAAGTGTCGGAAGACGCACCAGATGTGACCGACGAGGATGTCTCCGACTTACCATCCGGTATCCTGCCCTGCACTCCGGTGCAGAAACTCAAAGAAGAGTACGAGCGGGTGATGCGACTAAGTGTGGAGGAGTTGGACTTTGACCAGCCGTGTACATTCATGAAGGGAGCGATCTGCTCTCCCAGCTGCGAGACCAACTCGCACTCCTCCCGGAGGTGCAGGATTTAAGTCCCGAGTGCGACATTGACAAGGCTGATGTTGGCGAACCTGGCGTGAGCACGCCGGATGACGAACACCGATTACGTGGCATCCTGAGGTACCACCGAAGTATCTTCTTAGGTGATGGAAATGCGGCACCTGCTCCAGCTCGCGGAGTCGTTTGCGATCTGGATGTGGGAGACGCTAAGCCTGTCACACAGAGGGCACGCTCGGTCGCGCCACACCTTGCGATGAAGGTGTACGAGTTGCTGAAGAAGTTGTTGGAGACTGGATTGATCGAGACATCTACGTCACCCTGGGCGTCACCGATCGTGATGGTACTGAAGAAGAACGAGGTCGACATCCGGATGTGCATTGATTACCGGATCGTGGACGTGTTCATCCAGTTGTCCAACTATCCTCTCCCGCTCATTGACGACCTGCTAATCGGGTTCGAGAGCGCGATGTGGTTTATGAGTCTGGACATGGCCAGCGGCTTCTGGGCGATCAGGATGACGAAGCGAGCCAAGCTCATCTCGGCGTTCGTGTCGCCATTCGGTTACTACCAGTGGCGACGCATGCCATTTGGTCTGAAGAATGCTCCGCTGGTGTACCAGCAGATGCTCATCAACTGTCTGTGGGGCTTTGTTCGACTACCACCTGGTAAGGAAGCTCAGGTGGATCAGGACGTACTGGATTATCTGGGTTTTAAGCCGCAAGAGGACAACGTCGCAGGGAGCGACACCGGATCAGACGACGAAATCCTGTCTGGTCGACGTCTACCCGCGCTGACAGACCAGATGACTGTGTTCCAACGTAACATCCCGGCGCCGATGCAGATGGGCCCTGTCCTAGGACGGAGCTCGTACATTGACGACATCGCGCATGGGGCGCCTACGTGGGATCAACTTTGCATCGATCTGGATGCGCTACTGTTTCGGTTGCGGTATTGGAACATCTCTGTCAGTCTACCGAAGAGTGAATTCGGTAAGCGCTCGATCCCGTATCTCTCTCATGAAATCAGTGCAGAAGGACTCAGGGCGACGCCGAAGATCGCTAAGGGCGTACTGGATCTACCATTCCCGTCTACTCTGATGGGGATCCAGTCCTTCCTCGGCAGTCTGAACTACTACCACAAGTTCATAGAGGATTTCCCGGTGGTAGCTGCAGTCCTGTACGAGCTGAGCGACGACCAAGTGCGATCCGGTAGGGACTTGTCGAGGGCGAAGGAAGCGTTCGAGATCCTGAAGCGAAAGATCGTGTCGACCCCATTGCTACGTCATTCGGACCGGACCAAGCCGTTCGTCATCATTCCTCACGCGAACCAGTGGGCAGCCTGTGCAGTCCTCGGTCAAGAGCATGACGGACTGATTCAGCCCGTCCGTTTCACGGGGCGTGTACTGAATGACTCGGAAGTCCGATATCATGTTGCGGAGAAGGAAGTCATCGCGATCATGAGAGTACTGGATGTATTCAGGACGATCCTGGAAGGATGTTTGATAATCGTGTACACCCGCTATTCGGTACTCAAGTGGGTGATTCAGTCCAAGTCGGCGGATGGACGTTGCGTACCATGGGGCGTCACTCTTTCCCAGTGGGACCTGGAAGTTCGCCGAATTCAGCGAGAAGTTCGCCGAATTCAGCGAGATGAAGACGGTCTAGCCGCTATACTCGGTGCGGGTATCACCCCCAGAGAGCACTTGGACCGGATCGCAGAGTTGCTGATTCCAGTCAAGGGGCGGGTCAAGCCACCACCGGTGGTGAGCATGGAGATGTTGGACGCTAACTTTGAGGGGATTGTGGTAAGCTTCGATGGAGCAGCCAAGACGTCGACTCGCCAAGGAAGCTGCGGATGCATCCTGTGGAGCCTGCCTGGTTGGAGCGTACTCGATGCACAAGGTTTCATCCTGAGTGATGTCACTGTGAACGATGCAGAATATCACGGCTTACTGAATGGACTGACCATGGCACTGGTCGGGGCGTTCAAGACCTGACCGTGGTTGGAGACTCTCGCATTGTGATACAACAAGTCCAAGAGCTGATTAACTGCAACCAACCCAACCTTCACCGACATCTGGCTCGGTGCAAAACTCTGGAAGGACGATTCAGTACGCTTCGGCTCGTTCATGTGAAACGTGAATACAATTCGGCCGCGGACTACCTGACCTCCAAGACGCTGGCGCTGGGTATCACGTGGACTGTACAGGATGAAGAGGAACGAATCCATCTGCAGCGAGTGTCAAAGATCCACGAAAAGCTGATGAAGCCAGTGGTTGTGGCGCAGGATGTGAGTGAGGGAGTTCAGGATGCACCAGATGGATCGGCTGCTAAGAAGGTGGTGACACCGGATGTGGGGTCACCAGACGATGTCGAACAGGACCCCGGTTCTGCTCCGTTACCTCACTGTGCTCGAGTCATGGCGGTCCTGACCTGATCGAGAACACAGGAGGAGACAGAGTCGAGTGGCCCATTGGGTCCGTTGGAGTTCCAAGCCGAGAGGTGGCGCAGGATTAAGGCACACCAGGATCGGGATGAGTTCATTTCGGAAGTCAAAGCGTATCTGAGTGGCGACCTGGATCGATTCTCTCCGAGGCGGCTTCGCAAGATCGCGAAGCTCTCGGACTTGTTTGCACTGGATGCCAGAGGCATCCTGTATGGACTCGCGCGGTCTACTCGAGATCGACCTCGGGACGTACAGGATGAGCCACGTCTTGTGGTGCCACAAACCCTGCACGCTGACTTGCTGCATTACGCTCACGAGGACTTTCAAGGTGGACACCAGGGAATTACCCGCACCCACGAGCGGTTACGCTCCGAGTTCTACTGGCCCGGAATGTGTGCCGACGTGGAACGTTTCGTGAAGGAGTGCGTTGACTGTGCAAGTGGAAAGGGGCGACCTCCCAACCCTGGACCGTCACCTGGTAACATCGAGCCCAGGCGCCCGTTTGAAGTTGTGTCGATGGATTTTGTGACGCACATGCCCAAGTCGGCACGAGGGAACACCTTCCTACTGCTTTTTCAGGATTCATTCTCTGGTTACGTGATGTGTAAACCCATGTCGTCTACTACGGCACAGGATGTAGCAGAGGCCTATGAAGAGCGAGTCTTCTGGAATTTCGGTGCGTCGTCAATGATCAGACACGATCAAGACCCACGTTTCATGAGTGAGGTCTTCACTCGGTTTCGGGAGCTACTCGGCAGTCGTCAGCGCGCCACGTTGGCATATCGTCCTCAAGCGAACGGCCAACAGGAACGTTCGGTGCAGACCGTCATCCGGAGCGTCCGCACTTACATCGCTGAGTCTGACCAGTCTGACTGGGACGATCACGCTGAGCGACTGATGTTCGCCCTCAACACCTCGTTCGACGCGACCCGATTGGATACTCCATTCTATCTGGTACACGGTTGGGATGCGCAAGGCACGGTGTCGGCGATGTTAGGACCGAAACCATCAAGTGTGCCTGAACGCACTGCGTACGAGTGGCGTCGGAAATTTCAGCGCGACTACAGCTACGCAATAGCCTGTGCCGAGGACCTCCCGAGACAAGCGAAGCGAACACGATCGGAAGAACAGACAAGCAAGTGGAGAGAATTGTCCGAGAGGCTGAAGACAGGATTTGAGAAGGGTGATACGGTATGGCTCTACATCCCGAAAGTCCAGACCGGATTGAGCCGCAAGCTGGCTCACATGTGGCATGGGCCGTTCAGGATCGAAGAGGTACACGATGACTTCAGAGTGAAACTCAAGGTGGAGGACGCAGGATATCGTGTTAACCCCTGGGTACACATCTGCCGCCTCAAGCCTCGCGCTCTGTTTCCGAAGCGACCTACCGCGGAACTCGATCTGGATGATGACGACGATTTCGATGCAGCCCTGCTGCCCGAGGACTGCTGGGAGCCGGACGAACAGAATGATGAGTACGAAGTGGAAAAGATTCTGGACCTCCGGTGGGCCAAGCGCACTCGTACTTCCAAGAGATTCCGCGAGTACCTGATCAAGTGGAAAGGATACGATGATCCTGAGTGGTTACCAGTGACCAGGCTCAATTGTGGTGCGCTTCTGTATGAATTCAACCAGAGTGCCCGTGCTAAGGCCAGGTTCCAGTCTATGCAGGCTGGTGATGACCACCCCAGTGTCTAGTACCGGATTGAACACTCGATCCTGACCGCCGACGTGTGACCTGACTGAAACTGAATGTGATTTTGATTGTGAACTGTCGACGCTGAATTTGTGGAGAATTCGAGTGGAGTAGTGGAAAAATGAAGATACCGACTGAATCGACCAGTGACTGCGCCCCTGAATGGAGTGAGCGACAGAATGACGAGCAGACGGACCGAATGACATAAGTCTAAGCCGAAGGAGTGAGGTGATGAACGTGAATGACATGAAATTGTGGAGATTAGCTTGTGGCTACACCGAGTGTGCAACTAGCTACGGTGATCAGCGCAGACTCAGTTGTTGGCACGCTCATCGGGAGACAGCAGCATTTTCCGGATGTGCGCCGGACGATCCGCGATGATCCTATCGAGGGTCCACCCTGTCCACTGGATGCGAGCCGGTTCTTCGCGATCCAGGATTTCGAGCTGCTCGGCCATCGTGTACGGCTTCCTATCCGGTTTCTTCTCGGACTTGTCAAACAGGATCCAGGGACAGACCTTCGCCGGATACACCCAGATGCCTGGCTCGTACAGAATCGTCTTCGGGGCTCCTGCTTTCAGAAGTTCGGTGATCAACTCGGCGTATTTCTTGATGGCAGGATCATGCAGACTCTTGCGTTTCTTTTTCTCCTTCACCCCATACGACGAGTCCTCCGGATAAGTCACCCAGTGTCCCGCGTACCAGATGACCAGCGCGTTGTCCTTCATGAACTTCACGATCTTGGTCAGCACGACGTGGACCTTCACTCCCAAGGCGTAACGCTTGTGGAAGATGAGGTTGATGACACGACGCTTGTACATCCGCTCACCCGGTCGGGTCTCCATAATCGCCCGGTACTCGTCCACATTGAAGCGATCCTTGAGTGGCCCCGTCCCGCCGTTGTGGTTCGGTGCGTAGTCAGGGAAACCTGCGGACTGGTAGACGGCGTAAGTCGTACTGGGTGCAAAAGTGGTCAGGATGCCCTTGTGACGCCACGAAGTGATGCCTCGACCTGGTTTCTCGATCACGGTCAGCTCTTCAGGAGTAAGATCTTTCATCTCCTTGCGAGCGAGTGGAGACTTCTTGCGTGCATCACCAGGTCGAGACTTCTTGCGTTTCTTGCCAGATCCAATGGTGGCTGAATCCGATTGAGATGACACCGAACTAGCCCTGCGCTTGGGACGACGAGTCGAAGGCAGAACGAGATCCGGTGCAGCGTTGGTGTCCGGTACCTCCGTGTCATCCTGTTGTACTGCTGCCTCACGAGCTTCCATCCGGTCGATCTTGGCTTGAGCCTCCTCGCTGGGTTCCCAGTTGCCATCTCGATCCTCGTTGTCAACGTCCTCTTCGTTCTCGTCCAAGAGTAGCTCACTGTCATGTTGTGTGGGGTCCATCTGGTCGGGCCACCGATCCGGTTCGACGCCATCCTGTGCGTAGCTATCCAGTATGCTCTCCGCGCGGAGGAAGTATCGTTCTGGCACGTAGGTTGTCCAATAAGCCTTGTCCAGTTGGTTCCAGTACATCATCTGAGCCAGCATGCAGGACAGATCGTAAGGATGGAACAGGTGATGGGCCATTTCGTCACGGTTCAACAGAGTCATGGCTTCCGAGTACGTCAATCCAGTCCGCATGGCCAGCTGAAGATCCGTCCGAAGCTTGCGCCACACAACGGGAAGCCCGGCGAGTGAAGCGCATGCAAGGTTTTCATCGACTGGATATTCTTGGTCCATGGGGCGCGCATCTTCCTCGTTGGGATCCCAGGCTATGGGGCGATTCACGACCCGAGCCACCGCCTTGTGACGACGCTTGCCGCCACTGGATCGACGTTCTGACGAGGAAGTCTTACCGGGTGGAGCCTCGCCTGTCACATCCACGATAGTGACGCGCTTGCCCCGCGACCCTGTGCCGCCCTCACTCGATTCAGACCCGTCGTCGCCCTTCTCTTCCGTGTCGGTATCGCCGTCGTTTTGGAACTCGAACGGCCCGGGATCGGTGAATGCATCATCTGCAGAGGTGACTGAGATCAGAGTCTGCCATTCGGTGGGGGGGGGGGCGTGGTACCGGATCGGTGGTGCTTGAACAACTCCTCCGGACGCTTCCAGTTGCCAGTCACCTTGGTCTGGTTCCTGTTAAGGAAGTTCATCATGCGGTCGACGTTGAAGACCTGAGACTCGAGGGACTCGACCCACGTACTGGATGTTTTGAGCTTGAACTCCAAGGCAGCGATTCGGTCTCGTAGCACTTGTTTCTCGACCTCGTGTTCCGCCATGAGTTTCTTGAAGTCCGCCCGGTACCGTGCCGCTGTTGCCTCTTTGGTCTCTTTGAGGTCATTGAAGACAGCTCTCCATTGTCCCGGCAGCCGCGTGACGTGAGCCTCGAACTGGGAGCTCTCCTTCTGGGCGGTCAACAGCTTCTCGATCGTGGACGACCCGGTCGCCTGCATCTCCCCGCGAATGGTCCGGTACCGGATCAACAAGCGGCACATGAACGTAGTCATACTGAATGTACGTAGTGCCAAATCGCGAGGATCATAGACCGACAGGATCGACGCCATCTCGCGACGCATCTGGAGAGAGTCGAGCAGAGCCTCCAACTCGGTCAGACTGGCGGCCCGGTACGAGGTCGATAGAAAAATCGTTCACGTCCTCGGTCTCGCCCACCAGCTCGTTCAGGTCCGCTAAGTCCGTCACTGAGAAACACTCCATCGTGGTGAGCACTTCGAGACCCGCGTATCCGTCACGCATGTAGTGGTCGTCGTCGAGGTGACGCCTGTGAGCAGGAACCTTAACAAAATGGAACGCGCCATCCGGTGCGCACCGACTTGGGGCCTCCCAGTTTGCCGTCATACCCGGACTGGATGGCGGCGCAGGATCGCGTCGCGCCGGAAGCCCACTACCTGCAGGCATGTTGAGCGCCTCGACCACGGACAGGACGCGCCCTAGAATGCTGCGTTGCTTGGCTGCCAGGCGCTCTTCCATCGTGTCGCCCTCGGTCTTCAGGATGCACCAACTGTGTTCGTCGCTGATATTGTCAGACGCCTCCGACGGCGCCTTGCTGTGCGAGGGATCGTCCTTGCCGCCAGAAGACGTGCGCTCGCCGCGCGCTTCACCGGCGCCTCCGCCTGAGCCCGAGTTGGCACCCGCAGCGCCCTCTCCAGCTGGAGGGGCGTGCGGAGGTTGTGCCGGGCCCGGCAGTCCGCTGCCAGGCGTCCCCGCATTGTTGTCGACCTCTTCCATGGCGGTGATGAGTCGCGCGATCGAAAATGGATTGTGACGTGAAGCCGGCTGCTCCCGGCGGTTTGATTGTGATGTGTGGAGACTTGCTACGGAGACGAGACGATGGCTGACTTGAGTTCTGGGAAAGAGCCTTTCAACGGTTTTGCGATTCGGTACCATATTCCATCTGGAGTGGGATCCATCGTGTGTAGGTCTGTTCATGTCGTGTCACCTCGGTGGCAAGATCCTCTGTGAAAGAACCTGAGCAGAGGGGCGGTTGACACGATGTGGGAAAGGATTTTTATCCGCACCCATATCTGACCGCTGGGATGGGACGACCCTTCGCCTGACTGTGACTGGTCGCAGGGAACAGGAATCCAGTGACGTGGAGTGTGACATGTGGATAGTGGATGCGCATGGTGGATTTGGCGGGACCCGGTGCTTGCAGTAAGCATGGTCTCACAGGATCGGAGATGTGCCCACCGGATGAGCGCTCATATTCGGTGTGGAGTAACACATCCTGTCCGTCCGCCGACTTCCCTGACCGCAGGATAAGCCTAAGGCGCGCAAGTGCAGCCAGTGAACGTATCCTGGCTGCTGCCTGCATTGGCTCCGTCAAGACATCGGACCAACCCCCAAGGTCACCATGCCCACCATGCTCCCATGCGCCCAAGACCTCGCTGGACAAAGTACACTGTTTGCCGGACTGGATCGTGGTGCACCCGGTAGCGACGCACCGGATGCCAAGGTGCCGTACCGAATGAGGCCGGACCGGATGATCAATTCGGTCTGACCCCTGGTGCCCATACTGGATCGTGACCGCACCAACAACAAGTCCAGTACTGCTGTGTGTGTATCAGCAATCCAGGACCGGATCGACCAAGAACGTCAAGCGACACATGATGGCTCACGTGATTAGACGCAGAGGTCCAGTGCGGATTTGATGAGACGCCGTACCACGTACCTCTGTCGCCAGATGATGAGTGTTGCCGAAGGAACGTTGACGTCGACAAGTTGCCCGATAACCAAGCCAAGTCAAGCATATCCAAGCTCAGTGCAAGAAGATCGAAGTCTCGTGCACAAGGTCGAAGCATATCCAAGACAAGTCAAGTATAGTGAAACCTTTATTAGAAGTCAGTGAAGTGAAACAGATAGCTAGCCAAACGTAAGATCAAACAGAAACCAATTTGCCGGACGTCTTTCTTCGGGCTGGGAATTCCCCCTGACATTGACGTCTTCAAGAGCTTATACGTGGGATCCGCCTTCGTGCGATCTTAAAACGGAGGACGTTTCAAGGCCTCACTGGTGTTGCGAGCACTGGTGTAGTGGGGACTCAAAGGTACCAAGGCAAAGTCGGCAGGGACTGGGGTGTCGCGCCCTGGAGTTATCTGTGAGAGCTTTATTTCCAATTTGCGTGCTCTATCCGGGCATCCATTTCATATTCCCTAATGTGTGTCTTAGGCGGTAGAGGTAGTCACCCCCGAGACTGAATTGATTGACTACTGTGTGATAGGATTGACTTATATTTTGTATTGTTCCCTCACTCTGTGAGGGTGGTGCGCGTAAGTGAGTGTGCATCCAGGGTTGACCAGTGCCTTGGGTGACGGCTCGTAAGTTGACTGGCGTATAGACCCCCCACCCAAGGGTCTTAAAGAATAAGTGGTGGCTGTATATTTTGTGACGTTTAGCTCGGCATTGTATTTATGTGTGTTGGTTATACTGAATTGTGGATCTGACTGTGGTCCCTTCGATTCGGTCTGACTTTCTGTTCATTCGGTGTAGTTTGTTTCAGGAACACACCCAGCAGACTCGATTCTGTATTTACAACAACTCACTCGGTGAAGTCCGGTCCGCTAAAGGTAAACGATACCTATAGGGGTTGACACAAGGACACACGCCAAGTCCAAGCGATCCTCCCAGCCCCCGGTTCACATCCTGTGCTCCGAGGACTATCGGATTACAGCGGATATCTCTGGTACTCCGAACAGATTCGGTCCGGCATAGTACGCTATACACCTGGACGATCAAGGCGTTCACCCGCCTCGCCTCACAATCGCCCCCTGTAACGGGCCAGGTGTGTGTCCGTTACTAACTTACACGTAGCGGTGAGGAAGCTTAGTTAAGACTCGGATTTAGTGAGACCAAGCAGTCAGTCTTGGGTAAAATCAACTCTGTGTTATGTTAGGACCAGGGCGGCTACCCCTGGTCTCATGTGAGCCACTCAAATGCAGGTCAACGCCTGATTGGCTGAAATGGGGTCTGGCTCCCCCAATTCAGCTAATCACGATGGCCGTCAGTACACGCTAGCCGTGTACTGACTTAACTACTTTATGTACTGTCAATCTACCTACTTATGTAACTGGGATCCATTACATCACCCCCCCTCTCAAAGTTGCGCTTACGTTGCGTAAGCGCAAAAGACACATTTTCGAAAGAACACCATGGACGACCGAGGCGGCGGAGGAACGGCGCTCGCGCTACTGAGTGACACAGGACGACGCAGGCGCAGCATGTGTGCACACACCAAAACATCTCGTCGGCGCACACGCCGATGCAATGCGCAGTGCCCCAAGTGGCTGCGGACATCCACGGACACCCGAAGGGACGGCGGACGTGGCAACGACGCAGCATGGGGAGCGACACCAACGCTTGACGACTAGCGCAACTGTGATGCGCACGAAGCGGAGACCCGGCAAGTGTCGAGACACAGGATGGCGATCAGCGTGACGCGACTCTTCGAGACGACCCTTCGAAGTAACTCCCGACGAAGAGTCGCGTAACCGTCGACCCAAACCGACGTGGCAGCGAGACGAGCCTGGACACCTTCGACACCGGCGATCATCGGTGGTGCGGCGTAGTGGGCAAGCGCTCACTGAGCTGAGCTGTGACGCGTGGGTTCAAGCCCCACGCGGATCCTTCTTGCCACTTGCCACGCGCAGTCGCTCCAAGCTTGACCAGGTCGAGAGCGTCGACGAGGGGACTCGAAGCCCAGCTAGCGCAGTGGTCGAACGCTGCGCCACCAAGGCGGAGGTCACCGGTTCGAGTCCGGCGGTCGTCGTCGGATTTTCTTCTTAGTCTTCGCGATGAACGCCACCGCGAGCTTGCGGTGGGGGTCCACTTCCATCATCACGCTCACTTAAGGCTTCAGCTTCCGCGGGGAGCTCCGTGGTCTCTTCAGCAGCAGCGACCTTCGCCTCATAGTCACAACAACATCGTGGACATCCCGAAGAAGAGCTGCACGCGTCTCCCACGTGTCCTCGTCAGGTGGAAACCCAAGCCAGCGTACTCGGTAACGTCGCGCGGCTGGGATCGCGCGAGGAGCTCGGACTGGATTACGCCCACGCCCGTTTGCACGAGATGGGTCCTCGTGGTGAACGATGCGGTCCACAATCCAGCGCGCTTCACCCGCTGAGTCGACAATCGGAGGAGGGCCATCGCGACGGTACAGGCTTGAGTGATGGGTGTTGGCGTCGCGAGTAGCCTCGGGTACATTACCGGCCAGTGAATCCTGGTGATCAGAGGTCGGAATATTGGCAGGATGATATCGCTTGAGGCGCCCGACGTAGAAAGTCGGGTGAAGACGCAGCGACGACGGGATGACCAGTGTGTACGCGTCACCGAGGACCTTGATCACCTTGAACGGGCCGATGAAGCGCGGCGCGAGCTTGTTTGCACGGAGGTTGGTCACGACGGAGGAGCGGATGCCTTCGGTAGACAGTAACACACGGTCACCCGTGCGAAATGAAGTCTTGTTCTTGCGTCCACGCTTGTCTGCATTCTCCTTCTGCCGGTCCACTGCGGCTTGCAGTGCGTCTCGCACGAAACGTGTGATTGCTTGACGCTGCTGCACAAACTCGGAAACCGCAAAGTGACCTGTGGGATTCGCCGAGGACTTCGGTGCATAGTTGGCGGTAGTAGCAGGTGGCTGCATCGTCGCTGGAGCGCCAGCGGGGTCGATCAGAGTTCGCTCTGTCCAGTCTGCGAGCGGCGTCTCCGCACGATGCGGTGCGGCAAGGGCCTTCTTCGCTTGGGAACGTGTCACTGCATTTGCGCTTGATTCGGTCACTGGGAAGCGTGGCGACGCCAGTGAATTGACCGGCGACGGCTCTGCCAGCGTCTTGGCCGGCGGTGAGTCTTCAGCGGTAGCTCCTCCCCCACCAAGCGTAGAGACACGAGCATCAGTGGGTTGGCTTACGGCAAGCATGGCGGGTACGCGCGGGTGGCGCGCGGAGTTCACGAAGAACGGAGTCATGCCCGTCGACGAGTGCTCGGCGTTGTTCAGAGCGAACTCGGTCAGGGGCAGGAAAGCGCTCCAGCTCGGGAACGACGTAGCGTAGCTGCGGAGCACGTCTTCGACGACGCGGTTGACGCGTTCGGTTTGTCCATCCGTCTCCGGGTGAGCCGCGGTGGACATCGCCAGCTGCGTTCCAAGCAATTTGAACAGCTCCGTCCAAAACGCGGACGTGAACCTCGGATCCCGATCCGAGACGATGGAATCGGGCAGACCATGAAGGCAGAACACGGCGTCGACGAAGTGGGCTGCGGACTCTTCCGCAGTAACCGTGGCAGCCACGGGAACGAGATGCACCATCTTGCTGAACCTGTCGACGAAAACGAGGACTCCCGTGCGCCCGTTCGAGTCGGGTGGAAGACCGAAGCCGAAGTCCATCGAGACGGAGCGCCAGGCTTCCGTGGGGACCGGAAGGGGGCGCAGCGGAGCCTGCGATGACGGCGAGGGCTTTACTCGCTGGCAGATCTCGCAAGTGCGCACCCACTTGCGCACCCACTTGTACAAGTGGGGCCAGAAGAAGTCTCGCGCCACCGCCGCGAACGTCTTTTCGCGACCCAAGTGACCCCCGATCGGAGCGTCGTGGTACTCATGGATGATCCGGGCGCGAAGGTCTTCGTCATTCGGCACCACCACTCTCGGGGCATCGAATCGGTCGATGGTGTACGTCAGCAGGGAGCCATCAAGCCGATATCGCTCGACGTGGCTGCGGATCGAGCGCGATAGTGCCTTC